ACATGTTCAAACATGCCTATATCCTTGTTAGACATGTTCAAACATGCCTATATCCTTGTTAGACATGTTCAAACATGCCTATATCCTTGTTAGACGTGTTTAAACATGCCTAAGTCCTTCTTAGACATGTTCAAACATGCCTACTTCCTTTGCAGACATGTTCAAACATACCAAAACATGCTTAGGCTTTTTTAGCATACCACTATGATACCTAGGCATGTTCAAACAAGATTCAATTGCCCTTTTCATGTTATTGTCACTTGCAATTGTACCTTTTCCTCTAGAAGATTGTTAGTATGTAGATTATTCAAAACGGAAGAAGAGTCCATTGTGTTCTTTATAATGATAAGAGGTCCCAAAAGACACCTAAAGTAAAAGTCCTATTTATAGAGGATTCGGAATAGTAATGTGAAGAATATGTCAAAGCGAAAAGATATCGACTGGTCTTCTCTCAAAAATGCTTCTCCAAAAGCAAAACGTCTACACTTAGAGAAGGAAAGCGATGAAAAATATCACTGTCCACTTCCAAATTGCACACATACAGGATTCACCTCTCAAAGGGGTTGCAGGAAACATGTTAAATTACAACACGGATGGTTCTACTATTTTGATGAGAAACCAGATGAAAAGTGCATTCAAGATAATGACAGCTTAACAAGTCCAGTAAAACAAGAAAAGAACACAAGCTCCGGTTTGATTCCCACCTTTCYTGTTTCAAGTGAGATAGGGGACACATTTTTAAAATGGCTGACAGGATGTGGRGGTGGCTCAAAGTCATCTCGTGATGCAAAGCAGACAGTTAGCCGTGTATTTAAATTTCTAAAGTTTTGCTGCGAAGATGAAGATCAAGTAACTTACGATATCATCGATTTTGCCATTTCATCGCCCATCATGCTGTTCAAGTTTGTTGACGCCTTGCAAGAAGAATATCATATAGGACATTCGGGTCGAGTTGGATATATTGATGCAATTTCAGAACTCATTGACTTTCGAAAAGTCAGTGGAATGCTTCAAGAATCAATTTTGAGAAATRTATCTGTAACAGAGGTTCAAATAAAAAAAGCGAGAAAGAGTGTGGCAAAGATGATGAAATTGCAATGGAATCATGATTTGGACATCGAGACGCTGGAATCTAAAGGTCATTGGGCAACAATGGATGAATTACTACAAGTGATCCCATATCATCTTCCGAGGTACGAGAAGATTATCAAGCAGTGCAAAAATCACCCAAATGACCCTTTGTGTGCCTTAGAGCTTTCCTTTGCCACGCGWTTTATCGCTGTTTACCTTTTCCTTCAWGTGAAATGTASTAGACCGATGACATTTCAATATCTGACTGTTCAAATGATCGAAACGGCCAAAATCAACGGTGGCTTTGTCGACCAAAAACAGTTTAAAACTGCAAGTACATACGGCTTTGACTCGCTAATGTTCAACACAGCTGATATACAGGTYATCGATGATTTTATACGACACGTCCGTCCACGTCTTGAGCCAAAGTGTGATTATGTTTTGGTCACCCGAAATGGCAGGCAGTACAACAAACTGAGTAATCTGATGACCAAAATGGTTTTCGATGCTATTGGCAAGTACATTCACCCAAGCAGATATCGACAAATAGTTGAAACGGAAAGTGTGAAAAATCTCACCAAAGAAGAACAAG